GGGGGGGGGGGTTGTCCAAGGCAGGGGGTTAGCAGGACCAGTCTCCACCTGATCTTTTGTGTGGCCCTGCCTGGCTCTAAGGTGCGCCAGGGGCTAAGTTGATGCTGACACCCCCTGTTCTTGTGCCTGCAGTGAAGGTGACTGGTGGGAGGCTCGGTCACTCAGCTCCGGACAAACTGGCTACATCCCCAGCAATTATGTGGCCCCTGTGGACTCCATCCAGGCTGAAGAGTGAGTAGGGGTTGAGGGGAGACCAGCCCTATGAACAGTATTCTGGAGTCCACACCCAAAGTCACCTCTTGGGCAAGTCACAGCTCCACTCCATCTCCTTATCTATAATTCTGTAAGGTCATTGTGAGAATAAAAGAAGATGATAATAATAGCAGATGATACTTACCTAGTATCTACTATGTTCTGGGCGCTATTCAGAATGCTTTCTGTGTATTAATGGAGTTAGGAACTAATATTGTTTTACAAATGAGGAAACTAAGGTGCAGAGAAATTAAATACCCTGCACAAGTTCACATAGCTAGTAAGTAGGTGGAGCGGGTGTTTGAACCCAGATCGTCTGGCTGCATTTGCTAAGCATTGTACATATTGTCTCTCAGTGATAACAACAGCACATGGACTTTAAAAAATTGTAAAATGCTAAACAAATGCAAGGGATATTACTTAGAATTAATTCTATTAAGGAGGCAGGGAATTATTCACGGAGTACCTTTATATACTACTGTACCTGAGTACTTGAGATACTACTACAGGTACATTACCTACCTTGATTCATTTACTTCTCACAATAACATTATTGATATTACTGTCATCCCCATTTTACAGATGAGGAAACTGAGGCTTATACTTTTTTTTTATCCTCGCATATACATGTATATATGGGAAAAGGAAAGATTGGAGAGACTTCAGAGTGAGAGTTAGCAGGACTTGACTGATTTGCCACTGGGGTATGGTGAGTGGGAGGAATCCAGGGTGGCCCGAAGTCTTCTTGAGGAACTGGGTGGGTGATGATACCATTTGCTAAAGTGGGGAACATAGGGGCAGGTCAGTTTCTAGAGGGGACTTGTTGGGTTCAGTTTCATGGATAGGAGTACCCAGGCAGAGGAGCCCACCAGCAAGTAGATTCAGTTGTATTTTGCATGAGAGGTGTCCAGCCCGTGCCAAGCCATCCCCTGAATGAGCTCAGAGGAGGGGCATCTTCTTCTAATTGGCACCAAGGCTCTTAGTTTGTTGTGGATCTTGCCTCTGGCACACCTGGGCTGGGGTGGAAACTTGGGACTCTTCATGGTGGAGACGATAATTAAAGCTGTCTGGGGGGTGAAGGAAGAGGGAGGAATGTGAGAGAGATTGGCCCTAGGACCCAACTTTGAAGACAGCTGCCCTTGAAAGAGAAGGGAGGTTGCTGGCAAACCAAGCCACGTCCGAGTAGCCAAGAGGGCGGAGGGCTGGTTTGAGGAAACAAGAGAGATGAGTATCAGAGGCTTCCACTGGATTTGGCAACAGGGGTGACCTTTGTGAGAGATCTGAGTGAAGAGGGTGGGAGGCCAGACAGCAGAGCCTGGGAGGGAGATGGAGGTGAGGAAGCGGAGACCCAAGTGTGAAGCGCTTCTTCAAGTGAAGGGAAGAGGTGAGATCTAACAATGTTGATGGCAAGGTGGGGCTTAGAACAGCTTCCTTTGGGGAAGGAAGAAATGTAGGCATATGTAGAGGTTGGGGGGCTGGAGAGGCTGTAGTTGGGGGCTGGTTGGTGGGGGAAGTGTTTCTGAGCAGAGGCGAGTGGACAGGGTTCAGAGCTCAAATGGGGTGAGGACTTCATCTGTGGAGGGTTGTAGGAGGCATGAAGGAGAGGAGATAATGCAGAAGATGAGAGATGCTGTGTCCACATCTTGGGGGCAGTGTCATGAGGCCCTGAGAGGCACTCAGTGCAGTGTCGCTGTTAAGAATAGTGTAGTGGTTAAGAGTGCAGGCCCTAGAGCAGACTGCTTGGGTTCCTATTCTGGCATCGCAGCTTAAGAGCCTGTGGTTTCGGGCAAGTTGCTTAACCATAAGATATCTCAATTTCCTCATCTGTCTAATGGGAGGTAATAATAGTACTTACCTCACAGCCTTGTTATAAGAATTAAATAAATACATGTATGTATTAAAGCAGAGCCTGACACAAAATAAGTGCTGTTATTATAATATTAATTATTAAGGAAGTAGCTAATGTCATGGGTGTCAGTGGGGGCAGGGCTTTGAAAAAACTTGGAAATGTGTCCTGTTGACACAGTCCTTCAACAGTTCCTCCTTCCTCATCCTGCCTGGACACTCCATTTGCCAATGCCTTCCCTTGTTCCCCAAAATGTACCTAGTACCCAGGTGTGGGATGACAATTTCAGAGTTCACTATGACTGCCACCTCCCCTGATTTGAAAACTATGCTCCTTTTAATTGAGCCCAAGGTGGTCATGGGCCAATTTGGTGATCTAATGACATCTGATTCTTCTATGGCACCTGTGGTCACTTTATCTCTCCAGTGTACTTTCACAGTTGGTTTGAGGGTACAATTCAGTCTCAGAAGAATATCCAAGAGAGCCCAGCCGGGCGTGGCTCAGCTGTTGAGCGTCCACCTAGGATCCAGGCAATAGGGGTTCGATTCCCGGTCAGGGAACATGCCCGGGTTGTGGGCTGCAGCCGATCAATGACTCTCATCATTGATGTTTCTATCTGTCTCTCTCCCTCTCCTTTCCTCTCTCTGAAATCAATAAAGATATATATTTTTTTTTTTTAAAAAAAAAAGAATATCCAAGAGAGAGCAGGAATGCTCAAGGCCTGAAGTTGAAGTTGAGACTTAGAACAATATCCATATTTAAGAGAGTGGAGGAAAAGCAGCAGTCGGAGCCAGGAAGGAGCAGTCAGAAAGTGGGGAAGAGCAGCAGGAAAGAGTAGTGATCTGCAAGCCAGAGGAGGAAAGGGATTGCCAGTGGGTGTGGGGAGAGGGATCTGAGTGATTGCCTGGGACAGTGTGAAAAGAACTAGGGTGGGCTGCAAAGGATTTCAAATACAGCTTATCGCAGGCCTTGCAAGCAGGTCACTTCTCTTCTCCCAGCCTCAAGTTCCTCATCTGTAAAATGAACTCATGGAGGAGCAGTAATGAGATGGACTAATGGACTGGTGGTGCCCTGATGAGGTCATTAGTCACTTGGGTTCTAGCAATTTTAATTCAAGAGAAACCCAGAGCCTGGCCGGGCATGGCTCAGCAACTGAGCATTGACCTAGGATCCAGGAAATCGCGGTTCAATTCCCAGTCAGGGACATGCCCGAGCTGCGGGCTCCATCCCCAGCTGGGGCACAGAGGAGGCGGTGATCAATGACTCTCATCATTGATGTTTCTATCTATCTCTCTCCCTCTCCCTTCCTCTCTCTGAAATCAATAAAGATATATTTAAAAAAAAGAGAGAGAGAGAGAAACCCAGAGAGTGGAGAGGAGAAGCCTAACCGTTATTGGGCACCTACTGTGTGCCAAGCATTCTAATTCCCCCTTTCTGTGATCCTCATACCCAGGCTGTGAAGCAGGTGTGTGGGCACCCTTTCAAGGGTGAGGACACTGAACCTTGGCTTTTGAGGTGACTTTTCCCAGGAGGTCGACTTGGGGGTTGAACTGGGTGTGTACGTAACTCTTGTTGGCCCTTTCCCAACAGGTGGTACTTTGGAAAGATGGGAAGGAAGGACTCGGAGAGGCTGCTGCTCTCCTCTGGCAACCCCCAGGGAGCCTTTCTCATTCGGGAGAGCGAGACGACAAAAGGTGCGGCCTGTGCCAGGTCTGGCCCTTGACCGGGACTGTTAGGGTGGGGCTAGGAGGGGTTGGTGGGGCTAGGAGTGGTGGGGTGGGGCTTGGGTCAGGGCCAAGACTGGAACCTGGAGGGGCAGAGCTAAGGCTGGGACTGGGTTCGAGAGATGTGGCTGTCCACCTTCAGAGCCCCCAGTCTTGTGCGTCTCCCAGCTTCCAAAATGGGGACTGGGAAAGCAGGCCTGAAGGTGACCCTTCCCAACAGGCGCCTACTCTCTGTCCATCCGGGATTGGGACCAGGCCAGGGGCGATCACGTGAAACATTACAAGATCCGAAAGCTGGACACGGGTGGCTACTACATCACTGCGCGGGCCCAGTTTGACTCGGTGCAGGAGCTGGTGCAGCACTACATGGGTGAGGGGGGCGGGCCCTTGGGACTGACATGTGCTGCAGATCCCTGATCCAACCCACTGAGACTGAGGCCCAGAGGAGGGATCTCCAACGCTGGAGGGGCAGGCCACGACTAGAACCCAGTCTGGGCTCTCACCCAGGATACTGCTCCGTAGGATTCCAGAGGAAACTGAGGCATGAGACTGTTAGTTCCAGACCGAAGTGGCGCCCCCTAATATTTAAGCTGGGTAGGAGGCAGAATAGGACTGACTTGGAGGATGGGCTGTGGGGTTAAGGGGAAGGTGGGAATCATGCCCAGGTTTCTGCTTTAGTTGATTAGGGTAAGGATGAGGGCCATGGAAGAGCGAGGGTCACGTGGCCACATCTCTGTGTGGAATCCTCAACTCCATTTCCACTTGTCAGAATCCCATCCTATCCTTGGAAGCCAGCTGAAAGTCACCTTCTACGGGAAGTCCCCCAATCCTTACAGAGATCACCTCACCCTCTTGGTGCCACCTTCTTCCCTGGGCACCAACATGTTCACCTACTCAGTGGGCTGAATTGCCTTCTGCCCTGGCCTGTGACCTCACCTGTGGCCTAGTTCCTTATAACTGATCTTGGAGGCTGAGATGGGATGAGGAATGTGGGTCCTTCAGGCCCGACTGTGACCTCCAACACCCCGCTCCCCAGAGGTGAACGACGGGCTGTGCCACCTGCTCACAGCGGCCTGCACTACCATGAAACCACAAACGCTGGGGCTGGCCAAGGACGCCTGGGAGATCAGCCGCAGTTCCATCACGCTCGAGCGCCGTCTGGGCACCGGTTGCTTCGGGGATGTGTGGCTGGGTACGGAGATCCCAGGGGCCAGGGCCGGGTTCCAGGGCAAGAGCGAGGGCTAGGGTTGGCAGGCAGCCCATCCTGATGAGCCGCTGGTGCCTGGCAGGCATGTGGAACTCTAGCACGAAGGTGGCGGTGAAGACGCTGAAGCCCGGCACCATGTCCCCGAAGGCCTTCCTGGAGGAGGCGCAGGTCATGAAGTTGCTGCGACACGACAAGCTGGTGCAGCTGTACGCCGTGGTGTCGGAGGAACCCATCTACATTGTGACGGAGTTCATGTGCCATGGTGAGGAGCGGGGTCAGGGAGTGAAGTCTGGGGGGCAGGACTTGGGGTAAGGTTTAGGTGAGGGTCTCTGGGGGGAGGGACTTGGGTGGTGATCTGTGATGGGAGGAAGCACAATGGGCAGAAACCGAGAGAGTGCTGGGAGTGGGGTCAGGTCCAAGTTAGACCAGGCGGGGTCTGGGTCTGGGTCTGGGTCTGGGTCTGGGTCTGGGGAAGGAGCCTCTGGCTTGGGGTGTGGTCAGCTGGCCGGCGGGCTTGGGCGAGTGAAGGCGGGATCTGTGATGTAGTAGGGACGGAGGCAGCGTCTGTGTGGCGGGTGTCTAGCAGGGGATGTAGTAAGAGAAGAAAAGAGATGTGTCAAGGTGTCTGTGGGCCTGGGTGAGGTTTGTGAAGGGTTGAGGTACCTGGCGGGATCCTGAGTGCGAGTGGCTCTAAATGAGAGGGCTGGGAGCAGGAGATGGGTTCTGGAGAGGGGTGGGGCCAAGGGTGACAAGGCTGGCCTGGAGCTGGGGTGGGGGTAAGGCCTTTCTGCTGATTTTCTGGGTTCCTCTCCCCAGGTAGCTTGCTGGAGTTCCTCAAAGACCAAGAGGGCCAGGATTTGAGGCTGCCCCAGTTGGTGGACATGGCAGCCCAGGTAAACTGGGACAGTAGCCTTCATTTCTCAGATACCCCGCCCCATTAACCTTCCACAAATCCCTGTGCCCTTAAACACTTAGTGGGTGGACATGCAGCCCCAACCACTATATCAGCTGTGTGAGCTGAGGCAGGGCACTGCCCGTTTCTGAGCCTCAGTCTCCTCATTTGCAAAGTTGGTTTTTCAAATGATCCGTCACATAGCTGTGGTGTTCCCATCTCTCCACACCTTGGCCCCCAGGTGGCTGGGGGCATGGCCTACATGGAGCGCATGAACTACATCCACCGTGACCTGAGGGCAGCCAACATCCTGGTGGGGGAGCAGCTGGTGTGCAAGATCGCTGACTTTGGGCTGGCTCGGCTCATCGAGGACGACGAGTACAACCCCCGACAAGGTGCCCTGCCCCATCCCACCCTGGGGCCGCGCACCCCGCACCCCTTCCCCACCCCAGACCGTCCGGGACACTCCCATCCTGACATAGCGTGAGAGACCACTCTGGGTTCAATTCCAAGCTGCTTTGCTTACCAGCCATGTGGCCTTGGGCAAATCACCTAACCTCTGTGAGCTATTTTTTCTCATCTGTAAAATGAAAATATTCAGACAATAGTAAGCCAGTAAATAGTTATCGGGCACTAGGTACTGTTATAAGTCTCACGTGAAAGTCAGTAAGTGTCCTAGCATGAAGTGTGTAGCCAAAAGGCCTGGTCTAAATCCTAACCACCTGCAAGCTGCGGCCTGCCTCCCTTTCCTTATCTGTACAATAGGGGTAATAATAGCAAATATCTCAAGGGGTTTTTGTGAGGTTTAAATGAGTTAATGCATGTAAATCACTCAAGACAGCACCCGACATGTAGTAAAGACGATACAGCAGGTCCTTGAATAATGTCAATTTGTTCAACGTCATTTCATTATAACATTGATGAGAGAAAAAATTAATTCCCAGTGGGGGCCACTGTCTGTGTGGAGTTTGCACATTCTACCCATGTCTGCGTGGGTTTCCTCTGGGGCCTCCGGCTTCCTCCCGCATCCCAGAGCCATGCGTGTGCGTGAATGGGTGTGTCTGCATCACCCCTGTCTGAGTGAGTGTGTGCCAGTGCACCTGCAATGGGAGGGCATCCCATTCAGGGTGGGGGTCCCGATTTGGCCCTGAGCTGCTGGGAGAGGCTCCGGTCACCCTCCACCCTAAACTGGAATAAGCAGCTTGGAAAATAATTATCTTATGTGTTTTTATTCATCTTTCTTAAATGTATGTACAGCTCACATTTATCTCACTGTTTAATATTAGGAGTGTTTTGGGTGTTTATTTAGAAGTTTGGTGATGTTTTGTGACCAGAAATATGCTGTAGGAACTTACCTCTTGTTTTTATCAATTACTGGCCTGTGGTGAAATTGGTTTTGTTATACGTCATTTCAACTAAAGTTGCACTTTCCAAGAACCTACTAACGACATTAAGTGAAGACTTACTGTACAAGTGTTAGATGTTATTATTATGAGAATTATTACAATGTTTGTGAAGTGCCCAGCACTATACTAGACACGTAGTAAGTGCTGGCTAAATACTGGATCCTTTCTGTTATGCCCAGAGAACTCTACTCAGGGTCCCCCATCTTAAAGACACCATTCTTTTAATCCAGGGACCCCCCTCACTAACTTTCCCTTCTCCTCCAATCTCTCCAGGGGCCAAGTTTCCCATCAAGTGGACGGCCCCAGAGGCTGCCCTTTATGGCAGATTCACCATCAAATCAGATGTGTGGTCCTTTGGAATCCTACTCACTGAACTCATCAGCAAGGGCCGAGTCCCTTACCCAGGTTTGCTGGGGGAGGTGGAGGTGGAGGTGGAGGTGGAAGGGTGGTTATGGGGAAGGACTTCCTCCTGGCTGCTGCTTTGGGAGAGGCTAGACCCCCTGACTGATGGAGCCCCACCCTCCAGGCATGAATAATCGGGAAGTGTTGGAGCAGGTGGAGCATGGCTACCACATGCCGTGCCCCCCAGGCTGCCCAGTATCCCTGTATGAGGCCATGTTGCAGACCTGGCGTCTGGATCCAGAGGAGAGGCCTACGTTCGAGTACCTGCAGTCCTTCCTGGAGGACTACTTCACCTCCTCAGAACCCCAGTACCAGCCTGGGGATCAGGCATAGCCTGTTTGGGCACCCGTCACCTCACTGAGGGGTACCCACCAGGCCCTTTTCAACCCCCCAGGCCCTGGTCCCAAAGCCCCCAGGGTCATAGCATGTCAGAGCAAGCAGGATGCTCTGACACCATTGAGGGCAACCACTCATTTTAAAGATGGGCAAATCAAGGCTCAGAGATGATCCCTCACCCAGTGTAGCCACAGGCACTATTTCTCTCCTTACAATTTAGGACCGTATATGCCTCTGGTCTCCCTACTCCTCCCCTCCCCCCAAAAAAGAAATGCTCAGACCTTATCTAGTTATTTATAAAACTATATCCTTTCCCTCACCTCCCATCCCTGCATTCCTACTTTGTCATCCCACCCTGGTCCAGGACCCCAGAATTCACCTCCTACTCAATTCTCTTGTGACTGTAGGTTACAAAGGGAGGGGAAAACTTTGCTGGATCCCTTTCCCACTGGGTGTACCCTGTAGTCCAGGACTGAGGTCCAAGGCCCAGACTGAGGAAGAGGGTTGCTGAGGGCTCCCTTCCCCGAATCATGTGTGTGTGTTTATTGATTTTGTAAATAAGAAAAATGACAATATGAATCCTTGAGCTATGAAAATTCCTTCCTTTGGGAGGGATGGTGGTCAGTGGGAGGTGAGTGGGACTGCTTTGGCTGCTGGGAAGCGTACACAAGGGGTGTTTTAAGACACCCAAAAGTCCTGATGCTCGTCCCCATTGAGTGTAGGACAAGTTAAGAGATGGATACAAAAGACAAGCAGCTGGACACCAAAATGTCACCTTCATTACTAATGTGGCTTTCAGTCTGTGTGCAGTAGGTTTGCTAATTCTTTACTTGATTTCCACAGATTTACTGTTCATTACAGGCATAGCAGCAGGCCTCCCCCAATAGGGGCAGTGGGGGAAGATCAGTGGACCCTCTGCAGTTCCCCCAAAAGAAGACAGATGGGAGGGAGGAGAGAGGCCTGACAGTTAGTCTAGCTCATTGGATCTCACTCAGGGCAGTTCTGTCCCCTAGAGGGTTTTGGAGAGGTTGGAGGCATTTTTATTTGTGACAATGACTAGGGCCTCCTATTGTCATTGAGTGGGCAGAGGTTGAAGGTGCTAAATAATCTGCCATGCACCTATGTAATGAGGAATTGTTCCACCCCCAGGTCCGCCTTTGAGACACTCTGACAGCTGAAGTGCATCTATATGGAAACAGGGAACAGAGTATAAGGATTCTCACCTCTCCCATCAGGAAATTGTTGACCCCTGACTTACTAAGAGGTGGACAGGGAAAAGGGCTGGGAGCTAGGAATCACTGCTGCAATTGGCAAACAATTGCTAAGCATTAACTTTGCTCAGGGCTGTTTGCTAGGCAGGACCCCAGGAACACAAACATGAACAAGACCAGTCCCTATCCTGAAGGCGTTCAGTCAGGCTGGAGAGAAATAACAACAATTCATTTATTAAGTGTCTGATGAATACTAGATGTGTTTACATCCATGTAATCTAGTCCTGAGTCTGGTTCTATGATGAGGAAACTGAGGCTCAGGGCTCACAGCTATATGTGACAGAGCTGGGATTTGAATCCTGGTTTCACACTAAAGCCTATGATCTTTCTACCAGACTTCACTGCCTCTGGGCTTTGGGAAGAAATCATATCTGCCCCAGGTGGATGTTTGGAAAATCACTCTTCCTCTAGATTTTGATAGAAAGTGTCCCTGGAAACCCAAGTTGAGTGACCTAAAGGAAAGGGGACAAGGTGGCCAATACAGATTGTGAGTTCCCTGTGTTCAACCCTGTGCTAGGGGTTGCTGAATGGGAGCAATAATATAGAGAGAGGCCAAGTAGCTGCTTAGAGAGGTGGTCACGGGAGTGGGAGCCTTGGCTCTGCACATTCAAATTTGCAGGTGTCAAGGCTTCCTGAGGCTTCTCTAGCCAACTAAATTCACAAGAGCCTGATGTATAAGCCAGAGTCCCAGTGTTTCCATCTGTCATGTAAGCAGATAAGAGCACAGTTCTAGAGCTTTACTGCCTGGTGTGAATGTGGTTTCCACCACTTGCTAGCTGTGTGATTTTGTGCAAGTTATTAATCCCTCCAAGCCTCAGTCTCCTCATCTGTGAAATGGCAATAAATGCTCAATACATGCTAGCTCTCTTTGTTATACCTTTTATAAATTATTTACTCTATGCTAGGTATCCTGCTAAGTGCATGCTACCATTTATTCCTCACACAACTCTATGAGGAAAAGGTATCTTCATTTGACTGATAGGGAAACTGAGGCACAGTGAAGTAAATAGGTTACAGGACATAACTGGCAGAGCAGGGGCTTGAACCAGATCCTCTGACTTCAAAACCAGTCCTCTTAGTCTATAGTCTTTTCCTGGGACCAAAATATTTTTGTCTGCCTCATGGAACTCCCTGCCTGGTACCTGGATGGCCACTGAGTTTAAACGAAGGCCCAGCAGGACAGTGAACCACATGGAGTTCACTAGGCCCTCTCTGCTCAGCAGAGACCAGAGCCTCCTGAGTCTGGAATCCCTGTATCTATTGGTTCCCTGCCCCTCCCTCTGGTGCAGCTGAATAAATTCTCCCTTGCACCCCCTTTTCTGTGCATCCTTCTGTTCCCTTCAGATAGAGCACAATGCAATTGATTAGGCCTCTGTTTTCTCAATTTCAATCACATTCTCGCCCTGCCTCCCTGAGATTACAGGCGGGTCACCTTGATTGAGGTTTCCACTGTTCACAAAACCCTTCAGTCATTTACAAAACCATCTCTTGCCTCATTCACTCCCCCACCTGGCTCTTCTCCTCCCAATGCGTGGATTTTACTGGCTTAAGACTCAGAGGGCAGTTTTATTTCCAAGTTCATGGTGGTGGGGGGGGGGACACACATAATTGACTAATGCTGGGTGTTTCGCATGCATCATCTAATATGATGCTCCCGAGGCAGGGCAGAAGTGTGGTTATTCTGGGTTTATAGAAGAGGAAACAAAGACTCTGAGAGGCTACGACACTTGCCGAAGGTCATACAGCTGGATGGTAGAGTCAGAATTTGAACCCAGGTTTGTGTGACTTCAAAGTCTCATGCATCCCACTATGTCACATTCCTTTATTTAATGGAGCAGCAGGGGAAAGTATAATATTAACCCAGAGTCAGGCCCAGGGATGGCATGGTGCAGATAGAGGTCTGGGGGTAGTCCCATATATGCTGAGGATTATATTTGTAAAAGAAGCAAGTCATTTATTTTGCATTCATTTATTGATATCTCTTGTAGGCTAGTCCTGCTCAGGAGACAGAACAATAAACAATTACAACACTTAGGGGCAAGGTCAGTCTGGAGGTCAAGGGAGACTTTTTGGAGGATGTGAAAGAAAAGTGCCGGATGAAGCAACCAGAGGGTGAGGGGTGAGATCAGTTCCCACTGAGAGAACAGCACGTGCAAAGGCCCAGAAGTATGATATAACAAGACCAAGTCAAGCAAGTGCAACTAATTATGTATGGGAGGGTTGAGGGTGCAGATGAGGCATGGAAGAAGAAGGTTGGAAGGTCAGAGGCGAGAGGTAGTAGGGTTGGGCCCTGGCCGGTTGGGTCAGTTGGTTGGAGCATCATCTCATACACTAAAAGGTTGAAGGTTCGATTCCCAGTCAGGGCACATACCTAGGTTTGATCCCCAGTTGGAGCACATGCAGGAGGCAACTGATCAATTTTTCTCTCATCTATGTTTCTCTCTCTCTCCCTTTGTCTCTCTAAAAGTCAACAAAAACATATCGTCAGGTGATGATTTTTTTTTTTTAATTTTTTAAAAAAAAAGGAGCTATGAGGGTTGGAAAGCCAAGGGGTATGGCCCCTGAGTTGTGAAGAAAAGTCAGAGAGAAATCTATGGGACCTAGAACCTATTGGGGAGTGAGTCTTATCTTGGATCCCACTGTTCTAGTACTGAGCTGGGTGTATTCCCTATCAACTCCAGTAGTTCTCTCCCAGGCACAGTATCAAAGTCTCCCATTCACCCATTACACACACACACACACACACACACACACACAC